ATGCCTGTGAAATTTACCAGCTGCATAATCCTCAAGTATAGGATATAATATAATAACATGATATATACCAAAGGGCAACTTCTCACCTGTTTTCGTTGCTTTGACACCAAAACCATGATATTAAGAACATAATATCTACGTTCATTAAAAGTAATCATTCATTGAACTGCATATTATGTATACATGTAAATATAAAGACAATATGATCTACAGTAAATTAATTATAACAATAATTAAAATAAATACAATAACTCTAATTTGTTACATTAATATCACATCTGATTATTTGAACTGGATGATATATTTCTTTTGGTATTTGAACTTTTTCCATACTTATTAGGTTTAAAGAGATAACGAATTCATTACAACGAGATAACATACTCGTTAAACAAGATAACTAACTCGTTATAACGAAATACTAACGTTTTATACCAAGAAAATAAACTCGTTTTAACGAGATAATAAGTATCTCGTTATAACGATAAACTAACTCGTTATAATGTTATATATTTTTTGTCTTTTCTGCTTTCTGTCATAATCACTCTAACAAAGCTGTAGAATGGTTAAAGTGGGTAAAATATCCGGAAAATATCACTGATATATATAATCTATATAGTTGATTAATTTACATGATAATATTTTAGGAAAATTAAAATAAGAAAGTCATTTGTAATTTATTTGTAACTTGTGATTCTTTGCCGTTTCTGTCAACAATGCTTCTCCCTCTCTATGAATTTAGTGGGTTACTGTATACTATTAGATATTTTTCTCAGAATGACGACTGAACCCAATTCATAATTAGATCACAAGAGCCGGAAAATAAGCTATTTTAAAACATATTGTTTGGGGGTTAAAGTATAATGATTGTAGAAAAACTGTCCAAATTATTAAATAATGACCTGATTAATGAATATGAGTCTACCCAAATCGTGACTGAAAAAATACATGTACAAACATTTTTAAAAGAATATAGAGTTATGGTTGCGATTAGACTTCTGTTACAATGAACGTCTCTAAACCACTCTGCCACTAAAAAAAAAACTAGTTCTATAATTAACAGCCTATCAGAATCATTGAAAATCAGATATTTATCAGAACCATAAATGGTAGATGTTAAAGTCACGGAATTCTTTTCAACATAACCTTAGCTTATTCTCATAAACCTTAATTGAATAGTGATTCTAAACCTCGAGGCTATCTGTTATAATGCTAAATAGAAGAAAGAATAGCAGATAATAAAAGGCAAGAAGTTAAAGAGGACAATGAATGTTATTCAGGTTAATATAAAATCGAAAATCCAAATATTACCCGAACATAAAGTGATACAAGAACATGTATTAGGAATGTATGATCCAAATTCTTTAAGTCATTGTGAAGAATCTAGATCAAGAATTTTTAAAATGTGAAAAGCTTTTGGTAATATGTAAACATGAGTAATATAAAATACTAAAAATATAATCTCAATGTTTATGTTGAGAATAATTTTAGGTAAAGTAAACAACACCAATCACTTAGATCGCAGTCATATTTAACAAATTTAACGAACACGGTTTCTATTCCTTTCATTATCAATATTAGTAAAGCACCACTGTACATCATAGTACACATATTACTCCTAACATTAAAGCGACGTTTGCCTAGAAATAAGACCCAATAATCTTAAAGAGAAAAGCTAAAATTTGAATATCATCAAATGTTGGACTTGTCATGTGTCGAATTCTAGAGAAGTATTTGACATGTCCTTTACAGTTCAATACATCAATTATGAATATGAGACTTTGTAATGAGAAGTGTTTCATTATGTTTTTGATTGAACTTTGATCCTATATAATAAGTATTTGATAGAGTATATTTATAAAAGTATTCAATGTGTATGCAACGTTTTAGTTATCTTATCCTCTATGATGGTTTTCAAAATTGCACTGTTCAATTTGGTTTGGAAGATTTCTTGTACGTGATAAGTAGCAAAATTGATAAAGAACTGTATAATATATAAACAAAATGATTCTTTATTTCTACATTACATATGCAGTAACATATATGACCTCAAAATGCAAAGTAAGGGAATTGTTAAATTGTGTATGTTACTTTATTTCAGTACTCACTGCAAATGACGCAACATCGGGATGTGAAAAAGCCTCAGCAGGTAGGAAAAAAAGTTTATCATTATGAAGATTGCTTTAAAAGAAAGTGATTAGAAAGGGTGCTTGGTATTCATTATTCATTCAATACATGCATTTCCTTTTGAGGAACTTATCTTCAATCCGAACAAAAAAGCTATATAGATAAGAAAATTGGAAACAACGTATTTGCAACACTAATTATTCATGAAAAATGCTTTCACTTGCAGATCTTATCATAAATACAAACGAAACAAATATTGAAAAAAGAATTGGAGACAGTGTATTGATTGGATGTAAATTTAACGACTCTACTGATGAACATCGCCTTCGATGGGAACATCTTTTCGGGATTCAAGGTGATGTCCGTAGGGTATTCGCCAAATCCTCTATTACCTTGTCGAATATCTCTTACTTGGATACTGGAACGTATCGTTGTACAGATACAACAGATAGATGTTTAAAAAAGGAAGTACGCTTAAATATTCGGGGTAAAACTTATTTTCTAACTTTATATTCTCAAAAGAATTAATAAACATTGCAAATCTGTTAAGTTTTTGAAAATCTGTTTACATTTAGCATAAAAAAATGACTTAAATATAAAAAGAATAATTAAATTAATAAATTTTAATGAACTGAGTTAATACGATAAATACAAATTGTTTATTATTATTGCAACTGTTTGTTTTCCATCATAGGAGCACCATTCATGATAGGAAAGAGTGAGAACTTAGAAATGAATGAAAAAAGGAAAAGGTTTACCCTAGAAATCATCAGTTTTCCTTTCCTGGATCCTTATGTTGCAGTTAGACTGTGCAATAAAGAAATCAAGGGCACCATATATAATGTAACAATAGAGTTAGGTCTAATTACCGTGAGTTTGGACAATAAAGAATATTCCATAGGGGGATATCTATTAAATCTGACATTAGAGGATGAAACACTAACCGAGAATGGTTTATACTGTGTAGATATCTCGAACGAGTATGGAAAAAAGTCGTTTCCTTTTTATGAGAACAGAATTGATTCAACAGAAAAGAGAACCCTTTGTAAGTAGTACTTTTTCATACAACACGTGGTGTTCGCAAAAGGGATAAAAATTAGGCCTTATAAGTACACGTACACGTTATAAACGTTATATAAGTAATGAAAGCACTTACATGAAATGTATGGAGATAACGCACAGTATTTAAGCTCAAAAGTCCATTAAACAATACAAAATTTGGAGCAGAGCAAACACGGACCTCTAAAACATCAGAGGTGGGATCAGGTGCCGTGGAGGAGTGAGCATCCCCTGCCGACAGGTCACACCCGCCTGTGCTCCTTGTCATGATCGGGTAATAACGGAAAAATCCGTTGACAATTGTTGTTAAGTGTGTAAATAATGGCCTAACATTAAGTATGAAAAAGTCAGTCAGCATATGACTTACTGATAAATTGTATTTGCTGACAAGGTCATTGTATCGACTATGGAACTTACGAAATGACGACTTTAAACGAGACTGTTGATATTCTTGTTTCATCAACTTGTTTGTCAATAACTTACCTTGTTTTAGAAATTGTTCATACGTAGAGCATGCTCTAGCGTTTGGAATCAACTGAGAGATATAAACCCCGTATGCAGGTGATGAAGGTATATTGCTGCAAAAGTAAGGGAAGTTGACGATTAAAAGGTAACAGTCATCACATTTATAATAAAGCTTGGTTGTTATGTATATGATTAATTTCAACTTGTAATCTGCACGTACAAGCAGGTTTACGTTGTTGCTTTTTACTAAAGACCTTTTGACGTAAATCTACGCCAAATTGTAGGATACAACCTTTTGTAAAACACATATCGACGTAAGTTACGGCTACGCCTATCTTTTGACTAAACACTTTTAGTAAAACTCTGCGTTAAATTGTAACATTTCGTAAAAAATATTTATTCAACATCTGTAGTGCTCCACTTAATTTTTTACCATTGATCAAAATAAGTATATTATTAACTTAAAATGTTAGGAAAATAATTCTTGCAGTGCTTTTCCTGGAAGAGAACATGACAGCCATCTCTCTCGGTGGGTTAGGTCTCCTTTCACTGATATTTACCTTTACAATTATTGTGATGTGCAGGAAATTAAAAACAGGTAAAATTAAAAAATATATATTTATATTACGAAATTAAGCAATTCATAGATGTTATTAACTATATTAATTTATCTCCAACTTTTCGAAACTTAACTTTTGATTTTATTTCAGTGGAAAACAAAAGGTAAGATTACAAAATATTCAGTTTACATTTGTAATTAAATATTAATTAGAAAAACAGCCTCATTCATTTAAATTTCTCTTATCTGGAGATTAACGTTTTTTTTTTTTTTTTTTTTTTTTTTTTTTTTTTAATACATATTTAATTTTTAGCAAAGTTTTGTAAAACTAGTTTTTTTAACGAGCAAACGAATAAATTTTCATTCTATTTTAATTCAATTCACGTGACTCGTTGCATTCTAAAATAAAGAATGTTCTCTTCTTCTACTTTATTTCAAAACTGTTTCTTTAGGCAAATAAAATTATATCAAAGAAAGTATGAAAATACTTCTATATGGATGTTTTGGGGGTAATTTCATAATGAACAGATTAACCACTTGCTAACATTTTTTCATACACAATAAGAAACTTTGACATTTAAAGGATAAATTACAGTACGTGTATTTTATTGGTATAAAACAGAATCCGCAACCACCTTTAAAATGAAAGTTTTCTTGGCTTATTTGACTCAAAATTTGTTAATTTTTAAGTTAAAGCTAAAAAATACTAGTAATAATTAATAGTAGTACAGGATACTGTGGTTCATTATAGATTGTCTAAAGTGTTTAATTCAATGACACAAATGGCATCATTTCCTCCTTCCCATTCCTTCAAATTGACACAACTCAGCAACAGTTTCTTTCCGGATCCAGTTCCTTGTCAAACTGGTACATTTACAACACGAAGCATTCAATTAAGAGGTAATTTTCTTGATTTTTTTTTCCGGTTTTGCTACTATAGATTATTGGGGTTTAAGCATTTAAGAACCCCTCGTCACGGCCGCCTGTTTTTACAAGTCATACATGCCAACAGTTGACGTCAGGCATGCATTTACTGAGGTCATTGGTAGGCTTATCGAACTCTTTTTCAACATTTTAACATTTTTAAGTAGGGACTAGTCAAAATAGTGGACATCTGTGTTCAGGGTCCACTTGCACTTTTAGGGATGCCATTACAAGGCAGTATATTGATGACCGGGTCCCTCATTTAAGCGGCCCTTGCCCATTCAGCCAAATAAAACACTAGACAGTATTTTTTTGTTATTCTATTGTTAATACAATAATTCAATTAGCAATCCCTGCTTTTAAGATGATTTCATCTTTGATAATTTCAAGACGTTATTGCATATGTTTCTGTTTAAATCCTTTAAATAGATCGGATATATGACCCTAATGGAATTGCTAAGAATATTCCGGGAAGAATGGACTCAAGGTTATACTTATTTATCATTTAAAGTCGGTTTGGAAAGACGTAAAAGCAAATTCATTATCCATTTATAGTAATATCTTCATTTATTGATTTTTCAGGGTGTATAGTTTTGGACAAAGTGTACCAGATGAATATGAAGATAATTTTTAAAATTCATGTACTGTTGATATTTGAGAGAGAGAGAGAGAGAGAGAGAGAGAGAGAGAGAGAGAGAGAGAGAGAGAGAGAGAGAGAGAATGTGATCTATATTTGCCACGGGAAAGTTCTTTTTTGTCATAAAAAGATGAATCATAACGTATAATTAATAAAGAGTTGTGAGAAATCTTGATTTAATAAACATGCTTGAAAAATAAGATACACGATGTACCTCATATACCCCCCCCCCCCCCAAAAAAAATTAGAACTTAAATTATTATGTTCACAGTCTGGAGTTCTAGAATTCATAATAGATATGAAGTTCCGACGCCATTTAAAAAATCGAGGCTCCCTAAATTAAATTGACTTACTAAGAAAAGGGGGTTTAAACATTTAGACTTATGACAAACGGGATGGCTTGAGCTTTTCCATCGTCAACTTTCCCTATTTAAGTAGTAATATTCCACAATCACCTGCATGTTTCCTGGGGTCAGTGTTTTTTTTTGCCATGTTCAAGATTCGTATCCTTTATTGTATGAATTCGATCACTGTTAGTATCTCCATCTTTTTCAGTAATACACCAAATATGAGACAGATTTTCTCGGAGCAAAAATGTTACATTTGAAGAAAAATAAAATAACGGCAAAATACTTTGCTTTCGAATACGTTTCAAGGGAGTAATGGCGGGTACCCTAGGTCAATTATAATTGAATAATGTATTTTCTTAAGAAAAAAATGTAGTTTTGTTACATGTTATGATCCATAGCATCTAACAGTTGCAACACTACATACATGTACATTAGAGACGAAATTGGTAAGTGTTATGATTTTATATTCTTGGAAGTTGCTAAAAAAGCCCGGACCCTTGGAAGTTTGTATACATGTTTCTGTTGTTAACTTAAAATTTATAAAATGTTTTCATTAAACTTGCCCCGCAAAGTATTTCAATTTTATCAACAGTCATCTGGACAGGTCACCTCAGCAAAAGCAACTGACCATGGTCAAAAATGTGCAACAGATTCTTGCAATTTTAAATCATTATAGGACATTAAGAATCAAGAAGTTGAAACAGGTATTAAAGAAATATGGCTAAACCATTCTCCTTTAACCCCTGTAATATGAGAGCAGGCTATAACCAGTTAGCTATGTTGAAAAGGGGGACCTAGTCTGGATATCAAAAGTGCATTTAGATTGTTGCCCAATAAAACTTTTATAATTTGCCCTTTCATAATTTGCCCTCTACAGTGTAAGTTTGCTTGCACGCTGAAATAGATTTGCTATAAGTAATATTAATTATAACACAAGCACTCAATTTAACGTTTAGTTGCATCGAATCAGCTATATCACACTTGATAAAAAGTCTAAATGGTTGGCATACCATGACACAAAAAGTCAAAGTATGCAAAAAGAAATTATTAGCTGCATAATCCCCAAGTATTGGAAATAATATAAAAATGATAAGTGCCACAGCATAAATTCTCACATGGAAGTGTTGCTGTGACATACAAAACACACTATTCAGAACATAAAATCGTCTGTTTTTGAAAGAAAGTATCCATGCCCGTAAGTAAATACCATATATTCTACCGATAATGTGTACAATAACCATAGATATTAGCTGATGCTAAGGAGTCGTAGGATATTTAATGAACATTTATTTGCATTTAACAATTGATTAAAAACGCCATTGAATGACGTATTTCCTTACAGACAAGTTTCCCCATGCAGTCCACGTCCGGGCAATTGGCGATGTCACTCTTGTTACGGTGTGACATGTAGAAGGAATATAAATACCCAGCTAGCACAAAAACATTTTTAAAATGTTTTAAAAACATTTTCAAAATGTTACAAAAACATTTTTAAAAATGTTTTAATCACGTGATTTTGTATGGTTTTTTAAACGTTTTTAAAACATTTTAGCACAATGTTTCAGCAAATGTTATCAGAACATTTTATTAAAATGTTACGAAAACATTTTTTTAAAATGTTTTAATCACGTGATTTTGTATGGTTTTTTAAACGTTTTTAAAACATTTTAGCAAAATGTTTCAGCAAATGTCATCAGAACATTTTCCTTAAATGTTACTAAAACATTTTTGAAAATGTTTTATTCACGTGATTTTGTATGGTTTTTAAAACGTTTTTAAAACATTTTATCCAAATGTTGCAATGACATCTCTTTTCTGAAATGTCACTTAATTTTCATTAAATGATATCAACATCATTTTGTATGATTTTAAAAGCGCTTTTCATACATTTCATCTTAATTATAACTCTCAAAGAATTAATCACAACTGAATGAATTCACTTTTTACAAATTTTAATACAAATCCTTATCTAATATGAGAAACATATTTTAGTTCCATTTCCGGTACAAGTTCTGAGTTACTGTATTCTGTTTTAACCCAACAGGTATTTTTAAAGGAAATAATTCCATTCTCTGAATTTAAAAACAACAGAATCACATAAATCCTTCCCACTAAAAAGAATAAACAGACCTAGGTCACTGTTATCATTTACGATCCCGCAAAAAGCATGTATCTACATGTACATGTGTAGGTTCCACAGAGCGGCGGATCTACTATGTAAATGGAATCGCACACATTTGATAAACTTTACACGGAGTCTGTCCTCGGAAAGAATTGAACAAGACGCTCGATCTTTTCTGTAAAGCAGAACCTGTAAACATAGAGATAATAGTATTTAAGTCATCCGTCTACATCAGATCTTTAAATAATGAAAATATACAATAACATTTATTTAAATCACAAAATCACATGAAATTTTCCCATTTGCATCAATGAAAAGAATTAGAGTTGTTGCATGTTCATAACTAAAACACAAAAATATTAATGAAGAGCAATGATATTTACGTATAAAAAAATGCTTTTATCAGCTGGAGGCGGTTCTTTCAAATGTGGCAATTCGAATGAAATTCAAGTCTGTTGATGGAACTGTCATCTAACTGCAATATGATTTCATGTTTCAATAAAAAGATATTTTGAGTTATGATCAACATAAGACAAGGAGGAATATTTATTGTTGCCTAAAGTATTCAATTCAAATACATAATAGCTTTGTTATTGCTACACATATGTATACAAAAATACAATGATGTACTGGTAACAGAAAAGTCACTTTTAAAAATAATCTTTTGAAATTTCTGATGAAATTATACTCACAAAGCAGGTTTTAATAATCCGGCGCTAATTCTTCTGGCTTATATGATGCAAAAATCTTGTTTAAAATCAGCAACAAGAAAACACGCACAGCCTGTTTACCAGAATTCAAATTTTGGCCTAGATAAGCTGCAAACCACTAAACACTCTAACGCGCTGCCCAGCAGGAGAATTGCATAACAAGGTTATCATGACACTGAAACTGACCAGTGAGGCCACTCCTAATCTGCTGCATTGGCGTATAAGAAATATGATGCAAACAGAGGAGATCGTCAAAAGTCAGGCTGTGTTAATTATTGTAATCAGTTTGCTTATTATTTTGTTTTCTTTTTTAAATTAAAGTATCTTTAGTTTATTCAGTGAACTTTGTATTGATTACATGTCTGCCAACTCAATAAGAATTTTTGAAAACAGGGATAATGTTTTCAGAACATTTTTTAAAAACAATTCTTCATTTAATCTCAATCCTCTTTGGATATTCTATATTTTTTTTTCAGAAAAATTGGGTTAGTCATGAATATTTTAAAAACACTTTGAAAATCACATTACAAAATATTGCATCAGTGCTAAATAAAATGTTTAAGTCTTTAAAAGGACAAACGTTGTAGTCAATGTTCTTAAAACATTATTACAACATACTTTAAAAATAAACAAATGCATTAATATTAACAATGATATAAATGTTTTAAAAACATTTTGAAAATGTTTCTACAGAATGTTGCATAAATTCCAAATAAAATGTTTCTGTTGTCGGAGGAGAAAACATTTTGTTCAATGTTTTAAAAACATTTTCACGACCAACACTGAAACATTTAAATATTAAACTATAAGCAATATTAAGAATGTTTTAAAAACATTCTGACAACGTTCCTTCGAAATGTTTTAAAAACGTAACACTACTATGTTTCATATATATAGAAGAGGAATGTTTTATTTCATGTTTTAAAAACATTTTTATAACGTAATATGAAACTGTTTAATATATGCAAACAAGACATACCTTTGGAATCATTTTTAAAACGTTTCAAAAACATTTTCTAGAAATGTTCCTTAAAGATTTTACTTTAACCTTTTTGAAAACATTTTAAAAATGTTTTTAAAATGTTACAATGGGAAAGAAAAATGTTTTTAAAACATTTTAAAAATGTTTACTCTGAAATGTTTTGAAAAAACCTTTTTATAACTGCAATAAAATGTTTTGAAAATGTTTTGTGCTACCTGGGTAGAGATCTCTCCTTTTCCAAGTTTTAAATTTCGACCAAACAATTTCACATGCTGTTGTAAGTTGTGGTTGTGCATCAAAGTTTGTCACTTTTTGCTGCTGTAAACACACATTCACCATTACCTAGTGATCAATCATTTCGATGTACAATAAGGTCACTCGGAAATATTTCACTGTTCTCAATAGCATTTTCCATAAGGTCCAAACCTGGTTTGATCCCTTTTAGCCAGGATTCTGTGCCACAGATGATGTCTGGTTTTACGTAATCTAGTGCAGTATGGAATTCACTACGGTTTGTTCTTAACCCACAGCAATTTACTGTTAACAGTCTAAGATTAGATGAATCCTTAGTGTTGGTATCACTAGCTCTAGTGTCTTGGTGGTGCGACACCGGGGACTGCATACTACCCGAATGAGGCTGGTTTCCCATATGGTGGGCAGAGCGCGAATAATCTGTGGGCTACTCGTATGTATGGGACTATTAAAGCAGGATGACGTGGTAGATTCAAACGAGGACTCTGCGTCATATAACGGTGTGAAAATATTTGATGTGAAAAGTTCAGAACTAATATATGACGGATATTGTCACTCACAGTCTAGACTGAGTACGTCTGACCTTTAACCTTCCAAGTTTGAAGAGG